GTTTATTATGTTCATTAACATCACCAAAGACACTCTAGCGGCTGTCAAATTTGGCTCACAAATTGGTAGCAGATGCATGCAAGTGCCTTGATCCCCACAGGGGCAATACTATCAATCCTTGCATTTATTATCTGTTTTATTATAAAACTGTCCAGCTATGGAAATCTGCTTCCAGGACATCTAAGCAATATAAAGTCTTGTTTTTAGTATTGTATTAGATTCTTATATGATGTAATGTATATTCTTGTTTGACAATAACAGCACCAACCCCTTGATAATGTATAAAACTTGTGTATTCAATTTTAAGAAATGGGCTATATAAGTTGATCCTTGACAATAAGCGTCATAAACTTGAACATTCTTCCCTCAGCTAGGAAGTAATGCGTTACATTACTAGTTACTTGAAAAAGTAATCTGATTACATAACTCACATTATTTGTAATGCATTACCCCCAACACTGGTTGTAACATATATAATAATAATAATAATAATAATAATAATAATGTATTTCTTCAGCACATTTAAACACAACACGAGATGACCAAAGTGCTTTACAGAATCCACATTTCAATAATGTTAAAACAGACATAGATGGATACAAATCATTCAGAACCACATATAGCTAAAAACAATTAAAAGCAACAGTAAACAGATATGTCTTCAACATAGACTTAAAACCTTCAAAGGAATCGCAACCATTCGCAGAGTTCAAAGGCAAATACAACTGGGTATCGTCAGCATAACAATGGTATGCCACTCCATGTCTCTGACAGATTAAACCCAGGGGGAGCATATATAATGAAAATAGGACTGGGCCAAGGCATGAGCCTTGAGGCACCTCACAGACAACAGGGCAAACAGAAGAGTTAGAGGTCCCTATTTCCACCGCAACTGTCCTCCCCTGAAGATATGAGACAAACCAGGATAGCACATACCCCCCAATACATACACATAGCCCCCAATACATATATATTGTTTTGGTTCTTTTCCGTTTCTGTTTGCCTGTGTTATTTGTCATTGATAATTGACCTAGTTTCCTAATGTGTGTCAGTTTGTTTCCATGGTTACTGATTCGTTTCACCAGCATTTCATTTAACTCTCTTGTTTTCTCTATGTATTTATAGCCCTCAGTTTGTTCAGTTCTTTGTCTTGTGTTGTCTATGTTGCCATGTGTTTTCTAGTCATCATCTTCATTGTGAATTCTTCTTTGCTTTTGTTTATTATTAAAGTGCTACAATTAGATCCTTCTCCTCGTTTTGCCTGACCACACCGTGACAGTACACAAGACCAGACCGTCTAAATATGGATCTAGCAGCAAGAAAAAGCCCAGAGGACCAGCAACTGTTCCTGTATCAAGGAGGACGTTTGCTGGAGGATTATGTGGATGACTCCTTTAACTGTGCCACCAAGTTTGCTGGAATGAGGCCACATTGCCTGCGGGAAATTCCAGGTGCTCTATACATTGAATATGGACTGTGGATAACTGGATGTCAAGGAGGTTGGGGAGGATGCCTACTCCACAAACGGCATTCCCTTTCTAGCTACAGCTGCTCATAATCCTCTAGTGGACTCCACTCCGGTCCCAGAGCCCACACTGCCCAACATGGACTTCATGCCTGAGCCCACCGCAGACACTGAGCCCGAGCCCGCCACAGAGAGAGCGCCAGAGCCGACGGTCGTACCACACTTCGCCCAGGAGCCTGAGCTCAACGGACGGACAGACCATTCCCGTCCGTTCCTGTGGAGTTGCTTGTAAGGTTTGAGGGCTTGGAGGGTAATCCCTGCCCACACCCCCCGCTACAATGTTTTAGAGGAACTGGAGGAGGTTATTTCCCAGTGTCTCCCGTCTAGTGGTCGACCGATATATCACCAAGGCCGATATATCGGCCTATATTTGGCATTTTTAAAATTTCGGCATCGGACGATAAGTTTGTCTGATTGGCCGATGTGTCGGAAGCGGGACTTTTATTTTGACGGGTGGCGCTGATCACACAGCGCTCACTCACATTCTCCATCTTCATTAGTTTATGATCTCTGTCAGTCATATCTAATACTTTCTTAGACAGAACTGGTAAACAAAGAAAGTAAATGGTATGCGAAAAGTAAAGCGCTTGCTTTTATATTATTTGTAACAGAAAAGGCAAACAATCAGGGTCAAATACTTTCTCATTTACCGTCAACATTCAGCAAATGCGCATCTACATCATTTAAACAAATCTCTGAATATCTAATAAACATTTAATTTCACAAACCTTGCAGATTTAATCGACTCCAGCTGTGAGATCTTGTGAAGTGTGCATGTGTAGCCACATAAACGTTTTCCTGCGAGTGACGAATTCTGCGAACAGAAGATCAGCTAAACACTTTAAATCCTTCAGTTTAAGCATCGCTGTGCTATATCCAGTGTCCCACTATCATATTCACATCGTTTTCACTGTGTGCTGTATGTAAAATTAGCGTTAACTTGTCTTTATTTGAAAAAATATGAGATGACATTCTCCAACGGGGGTCGGTGATGCTTGCACACGCAAGGTCTCTCGCTCGCTTTCCCTCTCTGCCGTGCGCGCGCGCTACGTGGTTTGGAGCACAATCTGTCGCGTGCGCGCTCGCTCTAGATTACGGGAGATTTTAACTCATTTGCGGCATAACTAGTCGATCACGAGTGGCTCAACGGGTAGATCTATAGATAAACTCATCTTCCAGGCATTTGACCGACCAGGTTGACACTTCAGCTTGAGAAATCGGGGGTGTGGCGTGTGAGCGTGTGAAACCAATCAAATGCGTGTGTGTGCCACGGCCAATGCGGGAGAGTTGGCTGAGTATCCGGTCCATGATTGACGTGGAGATGAGGGACAGGTGATGGTCTTTATAGTTCTGGCGGATGGGACCGCGCTGGAGGAGCAGAACCGGGCTGAGGCGTAGAAAAATGTCCAGAATTGTTCAAGTTTCTTTGCTCAGTGGTCGCCTATTGTCTTGATCTAGAACAGGGGTCTCCAACCGGTTTGTGAGTGAGGGCTCCCTGAAGGGATAAAATAGTCTACTTGTTTGATATACTTTTTCATACTTTTTCATACATAATTTGATAATTTTCTCTATGTAGATGACATTACACTGAACATATGTGACCCTGGACCACAAAACATGGGGCAATTTTTTGAATTTGAGATTTATACATCATTTGAAAGCTAAATAAAAAGCTTGTTAGGATATGACTCATTTTGTATATTGGTCCGAGATACAACTATTGAATCTGAGGGTGCAAAAAAATCTAAACATTGACAAAAACGTCTTTAAAGTTGTGCATGTATGTTGGCGATAGTGCTGCATTCACTCACAAAAATAAATTTTTATATATTTACGAGAGGAAATATACAAAATATCTTCATGGAACATGATCTTCACTTAATATCCTAATGATTTTTTGCATAAAAGAAAAATCGATAATTTTGACCCATACAGTGTATTGTTGGCTATTGCCACAGATATAGCTACTCGTGCGACTCGAGACTGGCTTTGTGATCCAGGTTTACATATTTCTCTGAATATTTTAATACCACAAAATTTCAAGAGTAATTTGGCACATTTGCAAAAACAAATTGTCCAAATCAGCCAGCTTTTAAAAACAACAAAAACAAAACAACAACATAATGGGAAGCTTGGCATTGCATAATGCCCATAAGTGCCCTATAATCAGGAGTATAACCTGACACTGTAACTCTAATGGAGTCCTCCAAATGTTCATCAGTAAGGCGTGTTCTGTGTTTTTTCTTGATAAAATTCATATCTGGAAATGCAGATTCACACAGGAAAGTTGAACCAAAAAGACAGGCAACTTTCATGGCTACTATGCAAATATTTCTCTGGCTCAACAAGTTTCCAAAAGTCCAGATAAGCTCTTAAATCTCCATCTCAACCTCACTAGAAAGCAGGTTAAACGCATCACTTAGTTTCTCAGAAATGTGCAAAATGTCCACTTGCATGAAAGGATTTGTAATGAATGGCAAATATCTATATAAAATGTCTTTTTAACATGTAGGCTACATTTTCTTAATTGTCACTTTTTGCATTTTAATACTGTAATATCTGCAAATGGTTTCTGCACCCCAAGAATATAGTATTGCCTTTCAGACAGAATCTTGCACTCTTTCTTTAGTAGAGTAAATTTGTATATTATCTTAATATTATATATATTTGTATATGCATTTCCATTCCCGTTTGTGATTTTAGACAGCAGTGAGAGTGTGTGTGTGTGTGTGAGAGAGAGAGAGATAGAACGGGACTTTTATTTTGCCCCGGTGATGTGACGTCATAAAGCAGCGCCACACTCCAGCTTATGTTGTGGTTCACCTGAAGAAAGGTTTGTGGTTTTACGCATTTAAAGTTTAAATGAATGGAAGCTATTCTATCAATTTAAACGTTTTTTTCAAGCTATGTAAAATAAATAAATAAATATTAAATGTAACATTGTAATGCCTCATGTACATTTGTGAACGTTATTTTTCGCGAATCAAGTATCTATACATGAGTAACAGAAAAAGGTGCGTCTCATTTCGCTCTCGATATCGCGTATCAGTTTATCGTAAACATGAATTAGGTCTCTGGCAAGTAGTGATGAGAGAAATTGAGCTTTTCGAATCTCCGAGTCAATTGAACCAAATGATTCACAAAAATGATTCAGTGATTCGAATCGCTCGGTATACCTCACGCTGACGAATCCTGCTGGTCAAACCGGTGTAAATGCAACACAATAATGACAACGTTTACAAACCAACTGAAAATGTTTTCATGGAAGTGTAATCTATTAAATGTAAGCAACAAATAAATAAATACCATAACTAAATACAAAGTGTCTAATATATAATTTGTGTTCTTTTATTAATTTGTAGTGCTAGTTTTGAGTGTTTTTTTTTTGGCTAATCATCCTATTTAAGTCCAGTATGCTGACTACTGAACTAGTGAGCTGAATGAAACGCACCCTGAAATATAATTTGGAAATTATTTTTCTTTCTGACCTTAAATACAGAGTCCAAACACAGAAAAACTCCGGGTGAAGCGACTGAGATCCACGTGACGTAGGCAACGTTTAAGATGGCGTTGATTAAAGAGGAGAGTGAAGACATGAGGATTGAAGTGAAGCAAGAAGAGACTGAGGAACAAGCAGGTTGGTTTAATTCTCAGGTGTTTTTGTACCCTGTCTTCCCTCTTGCAGCTTTCTCTCTTTTCCTTTTTGAAAGTCTGATTTCGACTAAGTAAGTGACTAATCACAGGTTGTGTTATTCTGCACCTCTGGCTGAACGTTTGTTTTCAGGAGTCAAGAAGATGAGGAGGAAAATCTAGAGCGACTTTGTATTCTATTCCTAGCAATAGCACGTTGAATGAAATAATATTTTATATTTAAATTATTATATATATATTTTTTAATTTTAAGATTGAAATTGTAAAATGGACGATTACTAAACGGCAAAATGTGAATAGCATCTCGCATTTTTCAAATGTAGCCTTTCGAGGATATGAAACGGTGTTACTTGGCATTTGGCTGGTATAAATTCTAACAATGAATGCTTGTGAAAACGTTTTATGGCTTAGTGCGATTATCAAATCGCAAAGGCTATGATTTAAAAGGATATATAGTTTGACGCACCGTGTTTCAGAGTGAAGCATTTTCCATGTGTAAATGATCCAGTGTATTCAGTGTCTCAGCAAAAGTCATGATGTCGCGAACTTAACAATGTCCACCCAAAATTGGTTCACAGGCTATATCTTGGCAAAAAATTTAATCAATCGAAACAAAACTCGATACACTTCATCTGAGTCTGAGCCATGATCTGAGGGTCCATGCCAAATTAGGGATTAGCTAATTAGCTACAGGTCTTGAGATCTGAAAAATTTCTCTTTTAACTCATAACCAACAGTACACCATTTTGAAATTTGTCATAAATTGCAATATCTTTTAACATATTGGCACAAAATTTGGCAGGGATCATCGACAGCATGTCCTGATGGTACCTGAGAATTCTGAACACAGCGCCACCTAGTGTTCCAGAGATACAAGGATTTTTGCAAATCTCTTATAAATTTAAAAACCATGTCGATTTATTTTTCTCTATGTCATAATGTTCCTTGGTTTATGTAGATTCTGATGATATCTCATTTGTCATTTGCCATCAGTGTGCCTGTCGGCCATATTGAAATAAATGAAAAACTATTTTTTTCTGTCACTCCTTCTACAATTTTTGTCCAATATTCTCCAAAATCTTATCAGATGATCTTTGGACCGAGCCACACTTAAATGAGTGAATGGGTTTTTTACACTTGTAATCTCAACGTAAATGATCAAACGTAAATTCGCGAGATATCGTGTGTCCTCGTGACTTCAGCTGTCAGTCATGGCCGCAGCTGTTCCGCAACAAATCCGTATCTGGTAGGTATTGAAGGACGGCGGAGCACGGATCCGATCCGCAGCCGTTCTGCAGTTGGTGGAAATCCGGGGTGACAGTGCCTGTGTTTGTTGTCTTATGCTAGTTAGCATAGCATGTTAATTCCATGTGTGGCTTTCATGAACAATATTAGCGTAGATACCATCAGTTAATTTGAAATCAGAGACATAGAGCCCGAGAACTGTTTTTCAACCGTTCAAAGCTTTGTGTGTAATTAGTAGAATTTTAAAAATTGATAAAAAAACCTAATAAGCAGTTAGTGTTGTGATGATAAAATCTATATTTCTTGCATCTAGTATGCAGTCTAGCCTCTGCATTTTTAACCAACCAGAGCTTATTTATTGACTCTCCAAATTATTAAGGTAAAAGAAGGCTGTTCTAGAAATGTTGAAAAACAAATTTGTTCAAACAGCCGGGTTCTTCACTGTAGAGAACCATATTAACAGTACATACATTGAGATGAAGCATCTTATGTTCAGAGATATTGGTCCAATGATTAATACTTCTGTTTTTGGCAGAATTTAATTGAAGAAACGTACTAGTTATGCTGTCTTTTATATCTTTTATATATACACTCTGCTATCTTAAAGAGTTGGGAAGTTTTGTCAGGTTGTGAAGAAATATAAAACTGAGTATTATTAGCATAAGAGTGAAATAATATCTCTCAGGGGAAGTACAAGGAGAAAAGCAGAGGACCTAATACTGAGCCCTGTGGCACTCCATACTTGTGTTTGATGAGACGTCTCTTCATCAGGGCTGGGCATCTCTGGCCCACTCAGATCCACTTTGCAGTGTTGCAGAAAACTATCTTTTAGTTAATATAATTTATTTTATTACACTTGTCTTCCTTGTATTGATAATACAGAAGAGTTCTATATCTCTCAAATGCTTCAGATTGGTCTGGTGGCATTCTTCCTTCAATCTATATAATTTCTATTTGTTCAACAATCTTTGATTGTTCTTTAATTTTATGGTGAAATTCCTGACTGATGAGGTAAATGGAGTAAGATTGACACTTTTACACACAAGAAGTGTGGCCAAAACTCACAATATTAGTTTGGTGCCACTTGTGAAACTCATACATAACAGCTGTCTTGTTTGAAGAAAAAGTTAAATAATTTACAGTGTATAGGATTTAACATACCTTGTTAATGAGTATATATATTTTTTTTGTGCCGTTAAACCTGGGTTAAAATGTATTTGTTTTTGTTTTTTGCCTTAGACCTGATGGCGCTGAAAGACGAGAGTCAAGAACTGAATGAAATTCATCATGAATTCATTACTGGAGAAAAATCCTTTAGTTGCTCACAGACCGAAAAGACTTCACAAGAAAGAGCTCAAAAGGCCACAAATATAAGCTATTTTACATGCCAACAGTGTGGAAAAAGATTCAACAGAAAATCAAACCTTAATTCTCACATGAGAATTCACACTGGAGAGAGGCCTTACACATGCCCTCAATGTGGAATAAGTTTCACTCAAAAAGTGATCCTTAACAGGCACATTAGAATTCACTCTGGAGAGAAGCCCTTCTCCTGCCAACTCTGCGGATACAGTTGCATTAGAAAAGGATGCCTTAAAAGCCACATGAGAATTCATTCCGGAGAGAAGCCTTTCATCTGCAATCTGTGTGGAAATAGTTTCCTTCGGAGAGGAAGCCTTGAAAGCCACATGAGAATTCACACTGGAGAGAAGCCTTTCACATGCCATCAGTGTGGAAGGAGTTTTACACACAAACCAACTTTTAATTCCCACATGAGAATTCACACTGGAGAAAAGCCTTACATATGCCCTCAGTGTGGCAAGAGTTTCACTGAAAAAGGAAACCTTAAAAAACACACGAGAGTTCACACTGGAGAGAAGCCTTTTACCTGCCAACACTGTGGAAGTGGTTTCACTAATAGAGGAAACCTTAAAAAACATGAGACCATTCACACTGGAGAGAAGCCGTTTGCATGTGATCAGTGTGGAAAGAGTTTCGGACATAAAGTATCCCTTAATTCCCACATGAAGATTCACATGTTGTGACCAATGTAATAAAAAATATACAGTATATTGCCATCACATACACCTGAAAAGTCATGCTTATGTGAGAACCTATTTTAGTATTTTGTGTAAAAAGTGTTTAGAATGGCACTAGAAAATGCATATTTGTGAAATTGCGTTCATGCCTCTACTGAATTTGGGGCAAATCTGATTTTCCACCTTCATGACCACTTCTTTCACACTTGACAGTCTCTCTTGCCACGGTTTCAAAAAATGTAGTGGTGTTGCGGTAAAGGGCCTCTAATGAAGAAGTCCCTCCATTCAATATACTGTAGCCTATTGACACCTCAGAATCAAAATATTAGTTAAACTTTTATTTTACAGTGAAATGCTACAATGTAAATGAAAGGTTATACATGAAACGATATAAACTATAAAATGCAATCAAGTAATGTGGTGCAATATTCATTATTTCATCATTGACATCTTTGGCTTCTGGTTCCTTTCTGGCTGCTCACTAATAGGGAACGTGAGCTGGGTTTAGACCGCCGTGAGACAGGTTAGTTTTACCCTACTGATGTCCGTGTCGTTGCAATAGTAATCCTGCTCAGTCCGAGAGGAACCGCAGGTTCAGACATGTCAAGGTACAAGGTACAGACATAGAATATGTGGTTGATTGTTTCCAGTGACTTACAAGCCCCTCTACAGATCGTATCCGTTGTGTGGTAATGTCTTCCGCACGCTTTCCTTGTCTTTGTAGGGAGGACCCCTCCACGCAACTGAATCCCCCTCAGGTGTAATCTTGGGAAGACTCTTTCAGGTTGTTCTATCCAGCGATGACTGGCCCTATCAACATCTTTCTGGGCCAATTCTCGACCATCGTATATTGATATAGTAGCTGTGCCCATTGACTTTTAACCTCTGCTCTCGAGGAAACCGCCATTTCCCCGATCCTGTTGGGCACATTCAATTTCCGGATCATCTTCTGAAAGGATGCTTGTTCCGTTAGCGCACGATACAGTGGATTTCCACTTGACAGTAGTTTCTCAAAACGTGTTCTCTGTTGTAACGAAATACTAGTTTCAAGACTCGGGATATTCAAGCCCCCAGTTGCAATTGGTGCGTGTAAATATCCAAGCGGCGTATCCTTTGCAAGGCGTAGCCAACTTCGGAACGAGGAGCGGATCATTCTATCCAGCGTCTTTAGCGAGTTTTTATGTGCTCCTCCCAAAACCAATTCATGCATTAGGTTTGGAGCTAGATACGTCTGCAGAATGTCAAGTCTCTGGAATGGTTTAAGTTGGGCTTCCTTCAGCTCTTTTAGCATGCTCTCTAGTAGTCTTGAGTGTTTCGGCACTATTTTTCCTTTCCATCCGAACTCCAAGCCGAGATATCTCTGTGTATCTAAAACTCCCATCGTTTTAATTGGTCCGTTGGGGGAGAAATAACGTGCCGCACACAACACTAAGGTTTTACTTCTTCCATCTCTGACGATTGTAATGCTGGCAGATTTACTCTCATTTAGAGACATCCCAACTCCTTTTAGAGCATCACATAGTCCCCCTAATTTCTTCTGTAGGGCCAACCTGATCTTCTGCCAGTAAGATCAGGTCTTCTGCGTATGCGATCGAGTTTACACACCGATCGCCCAGCTGTACTCCAATTGCTGGGATTGCTGCTTGAATCACGGCCTATGTTTGCTGGACAAAGTACAGGAATGTTACAGTAAATCTTTGGCTTTCTAGCAACTTTCTCCAATTAAAGGAGAGTAAGACTGAGGTTTTGATTGTAGGTTCTCGCATCTTACCTACCTTTCCTGAACTGTTAGGTTCCTTTTCCTTTAAGATTGAAGATCATGTAAAGAGTTTAGGGGTAATTATGGACTCATCACTAAACTTTAATAAACAGATTGGTGCCATTGTTAAAGGTAGCTTCTTTTTTTTTTCTATCTTGCTCTAGATTCCGGGAGATTTGAACTAATTTGCGGGCATCAGGGAGACGCTATCAATATGCGGGAGACTGTCTGTTTAAAAATAAACTTGCTTGCTAAGTGGTTTGCGATTGTAGCTCTGTTTTGGATTTTTTTCTTGCTATCATTCTTTGTCATTTAAAGAGCTAAACCACCATTTATCTGACATCTATTACATTAATCTTATATTGCTAGTTTTTAATTTAAATTGCTATCGCTAGCACAATGTGTTAGCATTTTGCTAGCATTTTAACTTGTCATTCATACTTACCGTCTCTTTTCTATCTTTTGCGAGCCCATCAAACACTGTGGTAAGTAGAAATCAGTCAACAAACATGGTCAGTCATATCATCTTCTGTTATTGTTGCTTGCAGTGCTTGCCAGTTTAGCGTAGCCTGTGTTAGCTCACAAGTTCTATGTCAGACACTGTAATTTGCTCTGGTCCCCTTTCTGTTCGCCGGAGTGATGAGATACTTTGCAGACTGTCCTCACTCAATGGCTGGCTGTCTAAGTGGTGTCCGCAAAATAATATAGGGTTCATAGACACATGTAAAAGTTTTTGGGGCAGACCTGACCTGTTAAAAAGAGATAGTATTCATTCCTCCTGGGATGGTGCTACTCTTCTCTCTCTTAGTCTTAGAGTTGAACCTTGACTAACTGGGGCTCAGGTCAGGAAGGACAGACTGGCTAAACTGACCGTCTGCTAGCTGTCTCACATCACATAAGTCAAATAAATCCCACTTCATAGAGACTCTTTCACCTAGATATCATCATATAGACCATGTGTCTGTTCCCTGAATACAGAACATAACCTAGATGTGCCGTGTTTGACAGAAACCTGGCTAAAACCAGACGATTACATTACTTTAAATTAGTCTACCCCCCAAGATTATTGATATAAACATGAGCCTCGCCTGAAAGGCAAAAGAGTTGCTACAATTAATAATATTTTACGTCTTACTCAGAGGTCTGGTTTCAAGTATAGTTCTATTGAAGTGATGGTGCTTTATGTAACACTATCTAGTGTTAATGATAAATCACGTTTGACATTTGTGCTGGCTACTGTATACAGGCCACCAGGGCACCATACAGAATTTTCTGATTTTCTATCAGAGTTAGTACTGTCTGCAGATAAAGTCCTAATTGTTGGTGATTTTAATATACATGTAGATAATAAAAAAGACGCATTGGGATTGGCATTTAAAGACATTCTGAACTCTATTGGAGTTAGACGACACTTGTCAGGACCCACTCATTGTAACCATACCTTACGACTTAACATTGGATGGGGACTGTCAAGAAAAGGTTACTGAACCTCAGGACTCATTACCACTTAACTCCTTGAGATCTTTTGTGTATCTGCACAAGGATTAATAAACGTTTGAGAGTGAGATATTTGTTGGATTATTTCAGCCTGATTCAGTCTACATCATCCCAAGATTAATTTTAATTCATTCATCTACACAGTAGCGAGGACTTTAAATCTTCAGTGTGGACTATCCCAGATAAGACAATTTAGACTCATTTCATCTATTTATATAGCGCTTTTCTGGGTACTCGAAGCGCTTTACATGGAAGGGGGAATCTCCTCAACCTCCTCAGTGTGCAGCTCCACCTGGATGATGCGACGGCAGTTATAGTGCGCCAGAACGCCCACCACACACCGGCTTACTGGTGGAGAGGAGACAGGGTGGATCCATGAAGCCAATCAGTATATGGGGATGATTAGGAGGCCATGATGGACAGAGGCCAATAGGCAAATTTGGCCAGGATGCCTTCCTGGATGTTTTCCTTGGTACATATAAAACTTTCATCCCATAGGAAATTTCATCTACTCTGGTTTTTGTATATATATTTGTAAATCTCATCTCCCGTATAAAGGTATTTAAATACTCTTTATGATTTTTTCCCCCCATATTATACTTACCTGTATCTCTAAAAAAAAAAAAAAAAGGTAAAATGGACTGCATTTATATAGCGCTTTCACAGACCCAATGGCCACCAAAGCGCTTTACATTTTGCCTCACATTCACCCATTCACCCATTCATACACCGACGGCGGTGTCAGCCATACATTTCTTACAGATTTTATCAGTTATTTTCTAACAGGTGGATCCCTTCCCTAATTTAAATCTTGTGGCAGGTGATCTGGGTTTAAATACAAGGCACTGTTACAAACTTTTCCCACAAGATTTGATGGAGAATTCTGTTGAACATTATTTTGATTTTTAGCTGTTTATGGTCAGCCTCCACATTCTATTTTATGACAGTTTCATTATTTAGGCATTGAAGAAATGGAATGGATGCAATATCAGGTGCAAGTCATGATGTGGAGTTCCCAGTTGTAGGAACCTTAGAGGGGCTTCACATTCATAGGCCTAATGCTCTCAATGCGGAGGGGACACATTTTCCTGATCCTAGTCAATCTTGCCAATCTCTGCACGGTGGCACAAGTAGGCAAAGGGTGAGAACAGATTGCACTTTTTTTTTACAGTTCTTGCTTGAATTTGAATCCTCAAGTCAAAGGAGGGACATGAAGAGTTGCTAACTGAAATGAGAGCTTCACAGATGTCTTTAGAAAAAATTATGATACTAAACTCAGGATGAGCTTCGACCTCTCTTCCAAAGCATGTGGGATTGGGAATGGGGGTTAAAAACGTCTTATTTGATGAGATGGTGAGGGGGAGAAGTTTAGAGAGTCTCACAGAGCCATGCCAGACATGCTCTTCCACAGATTCGCTTTAAGAAGACACCTCAGCGAATGGCCAGGCCATTGCATCTGCGTGAACTTGATCTACCACCCATTGAGACACCACCATTCAGGATAAGGACCGGAAGCTTCTCCGAGACTGATGTGTTTTCTCATGAGCATTTTGATCTGAATAAAGAGCATATGAGACCATCCAGAATTATTCTGTCCCCACTGCAACAAATCTTTCTCTGGAGAAGTAATCAGATTGACTTGGATTGTTTGGATTACATTGTGGTCAGGAGTAGGGGGTAAGAAGGGGCTTCAATAGAATCTAGATCTGCTGCTCCCAATCTTTGCATCTACGTTATAGGAGTTCAGGAAGATTGTCCAGATAGGAGGAAGTGGGAGATTCGCTTTAGGAAACACTTGGGCCATATTACGTGACGCATGTGCACTTCTATGTCCATTCTATAGAGACGGGGTCTGTTCCCCAAATAGTAAGGTTGAATAATAAATCTACTACAGGATCTAAAAAAAAAATCTGTGATTAAACCAGAAAATCACAAAATAGGTGAACAAAAACAATTTCTAAATCTTGGGCTCCTAAACATTAGATCTCCCACACCTAAAGTGGTTATTGTAAATTAAATGATCACAGATAACAACACAACTTGATCCTAGAGAATTAGTCAAGTACAGGCCGATCTCATATGTCTTGTGTCAAAAATACTAGATCTCTTCTGTCAAAAATACTAGAATAGGCAGTATCCTCACAACTATGTTCGTTTTTAGAAAGATTTCCAGTCAGGATTTAGACCGTATCATAGTACTGAGACAGCTCTCATTAGTTACAAATGATTTGCTCTTATCATCCGACCGTGGTTGTATCTTTCTATTAGTGTTACTCAATCTTAGTGCTCTTTGATACCAATCTTTCATTTGAAAGCCACGTTTGTAGCATCTTTAAAACCGCATTCATCTACCTAAAAATATATCTAAATTACGACATATGCTTTCAATGACAAATGCGAAACATTTGTATTATTATTGTAATGCTCTTATGGGTGGCTGCCCTGCACGCTTAATAAACAAACTCCAGCTGGTCCAAAACGCAGCAGCTCGAGTGACTGAGCCTGGTTATTCTCAAGGTTTTTTTCTCCATTCTGTCACCTGACCCACTGTCGTCTCTGGCTTGCTTAGTTGGGTACACTTAATATTCAGCAATATTACTGATTTGACTGCACTGACACTACTGGTCAACTTAGCTAGACGATGACATCACTGTTTTCTGCAGATCTGCTTTATAGCTGAATTGAACTAATTTCATAATTTATGTACTTTACACATTAATTGAACCAAAATGAATCAACACTGAACTGATAAATAAAGGTGACTTGACCCTGAACTTAGCACTTTGTGCTACATTTATTGTTTTAGGGAGTGATAAACTCTTCGTTCTCTGCTAATGGAAAACACAAGAACATTAATATAATTTTCCAAGACAACAACAAGATTTTCAACAAGAAGACATTTTACATTCTCCAGGACTGAAACATTAGCCATCAATTTTCTAGTTTTTTCAGGACACGTGGGAAGCCTGTAAGGGTTTTTATGTGCGAAAATGTGTCCACACGGAGTACATATGTTGGCATATCTGTTGGCAGGTCAATGCGCTCTCTCCACTGTCCATTTCTATGTGGGCATTAGCAATTTCTTCATGCGAGAAGTTCTTGCAACACAGTTTGCAGGTGAAAGCGGTCTCCGTGTGACGACTGATGTGGGTGTACAGGTTTTTCTTATGCCTGAAACTCTGTCCACACTGAGGGCATGTGTAAGGTTTCTCTCCAGTGTGAACTCTCATGTGGACCGTCAGGTTTTGTTTTTGCGTGAAACGTTTTCCACACTGTTGGCAGGTGAAGGGCTTCTCTCCAGTGTGAACTCTCGTGTGGTCATTAAGGCTTCCTTTATGTGTAAAACGTTTTCCACATTGAGGGCATGTGAAAGGCTTCTCTCCGGTGTGAACTCTCATGTGGCTTTTAAGGCTTCCTTTTTCAGTGAAACTCTTTCCACACTGATCACAGGTGAAGTGACTGTTAGATTTGGTCTTCTGAGCTCTTTTTTGTGAGGAAGTCTTTTCAGTTTCTCTGGGTTTCTCTCCATTGATGAAATCACACTGTTTCTTCTCATAGTGATCTTCAACTAGTACTTCACTCTCCTCTTTCAGCACCATCAGGTCTAAAGCAAAAGACAAATACAAGTTAACACCAGTTTATGCACTAAGATAGTGAAAGAGTTGTTTAGATCTATAATCTTATAATTTCTTATCAATATTGTTAACTATTTGCTTTCTTTAGGACACATATTTGCATTTGTGGACAAGTATAAATGAAGACACGTCTCATCAAGCATAAGTATAGCGTGCCATGGGTCATGTTCCCAGGATCTAAATATTTATAAAATGACAAACATGTGAAAAAGGGTCCTATGTTCCCTATATTTATTTTTTTACAGTTTTGGAAACCTGAAAAAAATTGTTCCCAAGTTCTGTATTTGCTTAACATGATTAGGGATAGGATTACACGTTTATAAAATTGATAGAGACCTGGGAAAATGAGTCATGACCTTTTAAAGTCCCCCTGTGGGTGAAAATCCAGTTTTTAATGTTGTTTATGTGTCTATGTGGTGTTT